TTTATTTTTTTAAGTCATGTTTATTCTATTACAGTTGTCTCAATTTTATACTTTTAAGCATGGCATAATAACAGTTCTTTAATTATAAAGAAAAACTGTTAAAAGTTATGAGAATCTCCATAAAGAAAACAAACAATCAAACAAAAAACAAAAACAAAAATATATTCATGAATCATTTCACTTAAAAAAAAGGGGACTTCATGGAAACAAAGCAATATGACTACAAGGGAAACTCTTCCATTTACACCATTCATTTATATTGCAGTCCCTTTCTCTCCCAGGTGCAGCCTGTAATTTAGCAGATTTTGACAAGCAAGCACTTAATGACTTTCAGCAAATCAGCTATAGTGTCAATGAAAACTTCAGCGTTAAACAGGTAAAGTAATGTAAAAAGAGAGTAGGTGAAGGGGTTCGGTGGAGCTAGAGATGATAATGCAAGAGCCTGAGTTCTTTTAGGGTGGTTCTTGGCAATGTTATTTCCAGGCCAGAAAGGAACTAAGGTAAAACTCTGATAGAGGGCAAAAGAAAACTCTTATCCATCTCTCTTGGGTCAGGCCCTCCTACATAGACACTGATATGTATCCCTCTGTCCCTCATCTCTGGGCAGACTTATGGGCTCCGCTGTACTCTCACATAGGCCTCAGGCAGACCCAGCAGCAGTGCTGGTAACGTGCACTGACATCCCTGCCTCTCTCCTGACCTCCCCAGGAACTCATGGACCCTGTGAGGGCAGAGCCTCTGCACCTTCGTGTCCCTAACACCCAGCACGGCGGCAGGGACAATGTTCTCAGGATGTGTTTAATGTTTAGAGTGGAGCAATAAATGACAGTTCTTTTAGAGGTAGAGCTGACATTCAAACCAAGACATTCTGGCTTCGGAACCCACATTCTTAACCGCTATTGATGGAACAGTTTCCATAGCATTTGATCTCAATGTGCAAAGGCTCGTTATGTGAGATAAAGCCTCTAGCATTTAGTCAGGCATTAAAAGTCCTCTCCACAGTAAGGAAGTTCCTCAGAAAATAAAAAAAAGAAAAGAAAACCAAACCAAAAAATTACTGTATGATGTAGCAATTTCACTTCTGGGTGGATGTATAACTGAAAAAATCCAAAACACAAATTCAAAATGGTATATGCACCCCTATGTTCACTGCAGTGTTATTTACAATAACCAAGATATGAAAGTAACCCAAGTGCCTATCAATAGACAAGTGGATAAAGAAGACATGGTACATATATACAATGCAATATTACTCAGCTATAAAAAACTATGAAACCTTACCATTTGCAATAGCATGGGTAAGTCTAGAGGGTTTTATCCTAAGTGAAATAAGTCAGACAGAGAAAGACAAATGCCATATAATTTCACTTACATGTGGAATCTAAAGACCAAAATAAACAAACAAAACAGTTCTAGAGTCATAGATATAGAGAACAAACTGAGGATTGTCAGGTGAGGGTTGTGGGGGGCGGGGGTGGGTAAAAATGGTTAAGGGATTAGAAGTACAAATTGGTAGTTACAAAATAGTCATGGGGATGTAAAGTACAGTATAGGGAACATAGTCAATAATATTGTAATAACTATATATGGTGCCAGGTGGGTATTACAATTATAGGGGGTAATCACTTTGTAAATTATATAATTGTCTAACCACTATGCTATACACTTCTAACTAATATAAAATAACACTGAATGTCAGCTGTAATTAAAAATAAAATAAAAAAACAACAATTGCTCCCAACTTACTTCGCCAGTCTTATTTCCCAGTATTTGTTTCTTCCAACATAGGTGAATGTCTCTAATGGTTTTATTCCCTGTAGGTTAAAAAATCCCTCTCATCAGAAATGACATCATTTCTGTAATGTTCTCCTACTTTAAGATTAGCATTATTTTAAAGACTTGGCTTAAAGGCTAACTATTCCATAAACTTTCCCATTCTTGCTTCAGGATGTCTGTTCTCCTTTTCCCAACTTCTCAAAGAATGTCTGGGCGAACTTTAAGTCACTTGTCACTTTCTGTCTTGAGTGATGATTAAACACCATAACATTGTACACATCCCCTATTGGACTATAAGCATCTTTAGAGTTAAGACCCATGTTTGCCTGTCTTCATATATCTCCATGACCTAGAAGAGTAACCTGCAGGCAATAGGTACTTAGTGTTTGTTTCCCAAATACAATACATTTTCCTTGAATAATTCTGGCCTCAACCCATATTTTGTTCATTCTATCTACTTAGAAAAGAATGCCCTTCTGTTATTTCTCATCTCTTCAAAACTTATCTTCTGCATAACACCTTTCTAAATACCCATCCAAACCTTTGGAGGTGCTGAGTATGTTTATAACGGGTTGTGGTGGTGGCAATAGGAGTACATACATATGTCCGAACCCACCAAATTGTATACATTATGTGCAGTTTTTCTGTACACCTTAAAAAGCTGCAGAAAAATCTTTTAGAAGAAAAAAAATGTGTAGACCTGGAGCCTTGATTCTAATCTAGTTCTGAAATTCATTAACTATTAATATGGGCAGATTATTTAACTTTTCTGTGCCTCAGTTTCCTAATCTAGAAATAATAATAGCATTTACTCCAAAGGGCTATAGTTTTTATACAATAAGGATTAAATAATTATAATAAAAGTATAAAATAGTGATTATACTTTTATACAAAAGTATAAAAGTATAGTTTTTATACAATAAGGATTAAATAATTATAATAAAAGTATAAAATAGTGGTGTCATATTGCAAGTACTCAATAAAAGTTAATCATTATTCCACATTTTTCTCATGGTTTGTAAGCATCATTTGGCAATGATTATTTATTGATTGAAGATACATGTTCTATTTTTGATAGAACTTAACATTAAATCAAGTATAATACTTTAATTAATTTTAAGGGGCATATCCTGTTTTCCTAAAGTATGGGATAACTATGATTACTGAGAATATGGTATATGCCAACAACTTGGTTAAGTGCTTTCTTGGAATATTTCATTCAATACTCACAATGACAGTATAAGATAGCTGCTATTTCCATATTATAGATAAAGCAAAACAAAAACAAATATTTAGAGAGAGTAAGCAATTTGTTAAACTTGACTAAGCTAGTAAGTAGTAAAGTAAAACAGTTCTTAAAGGCAAATATAATGGCTAATTTATGTATGTTTCCTAAAGTGTTTAATATACCTATGTTCATTAACACAATTTTCTTTATTGCTTCGTATTTTTTGTTATGATATTCAAAGCATATATTTTTGGTATGTTTACTTTTCATTTTTAATATACCTAGATACAAAAAATATATTTTTAACTTTTAACACGCTTTTCAAAAAAGTTTATCTTTGACTCTAATATAAACCCTTTTCTCACATCAGTGACAAGAACATAATATACTTATAATGTATTTTAATATAACTAAAGACTTTATTTTTTTTTTTACTGTTCTCTATGCCTTTGTGCTAATCTCTATCAACTTACGTTTAGCTTTTAGCTCTGTTATATTTCTTTGGGTTGATGCTGTTTCCATATGATCTTAATAGTGTTGAAAGAAATGCTAGAAAACATTTGCTCTACACCTTTGATTTATCCAAGTGAGAAATGGGGCTCAAGCAGATGGTGAACATGGCAACACTGCTGAGTCAGCAAGGGAAAGAGGGGGGACAAAACCAGAATTCTTTATTCTCACTATTATGCTCTTTTGGCTAAGCTATGCTGCCTCCTGAATACAAGTAAATGCCATAATTTTCACACCATAACCCATTCCACCTACAACGTGGCTTTTTATCAGTGCTTTCAGTTTATCTTTTAATACAAATTCCCAAATAAGAAGCAAGTGGGAAGACATGCAAATAGGAAATACTTGAAGAAGTAAAAGCCCTGTGCAATTTCCCACCTCTGTACCTTTCTACCCCAATGCTCCCCAAATACAGTATCTTTTTTCTACATGTCCTTAAAGCAGTGCTACTCAAAATGAGGTCAACAGATGGGTGTCTGACTAAGAGATGTTTATTACCCTATGATGAGACAAGCACAGAGAGTGAGTATTTTGAAAATATTACAGCAATTTAATAGAGCAATTTATCCTTGTTAAATCTAATAATGATAAAACTTAGTCTTCCACTTTGTATTTTTATATTTCATTTTCTTAGTAACTGATTTTAATTTTACTCTATAAAAATAGTAATCTCCAACAGATTGGGGAGGAATCTTTCATAACAACCAAAAAAAAAAAAAAAAAACCCAAAGAAACAAACAAACATAAAACAGACTTGAGAGGCACTGCTTTGAGGATCCAGATTCAAGAGCCAACAATTTTTCCATACAGCATTCCTGATGTTCCTGATGAATAGAGCTTTTAAATTTTATAACATTTGACTTAAGCAAGCCTCTCTTATAACTTTCTATCTAGATTAGTAATTATTTGTATTTTTATCTCTTCTGAATAATTACAACCTCCCAGAGGACAAGTTATGTATTCATAACACCTCCTAATTGGCATATAATTCCTAAATTCACATTATACTAATGGACTGGATGGATTAATTGTTCACAGGTTTGGAGAGGGAAGAAGTTAAAAAATATACAGGGAGCATGTCTTCTTGAACTCGGATAGGGATAAAATGGAGAATACTGATTTTAGACACTACCCAATTCTACATCTTGTATATTACTATTGAGACCTAAACACACACAAAAGCCCTATTTCTGCCTAACAGGAAGCTAATAAAGTGTCAAAAAATTAAGTTTTAAATCAAGCTTGTGTCTCATGAAATTTTGCAGTTCCTCTGAGATTTTAGTCCAAGCCAAACATCACACTTATGGCAGACTCTCAAAAAGCAATTTCCAGAACACTCAGTCGTGTGCACATGAATTACTAACCCCAATAAACCCATACTCAAATCCTTTATTGTTGGAGCTGATAATAATCCCACTTACTAATTAAGAAAAGTATTGCTAGAACAGGGTATTTACTTCAGAAGTTAGCTCTAGGATCCACTCACCAAAGTATTCATCAGCAGGTGGATTTTCCATGTCATACAGCATCTTCTTGGTCAGATGCTCCAGCTCATCTTCTGGGCGGAATGAGGGGGGAGCAGCCGGAGGCCCCTTTGACCCTGTTTGTCCACCCTGTAAAGCAGAAAACACATAGTCCTTTAAATGCAATCTAGACATCAACCAAGACAATCAGGCAGTGTTTACATCGTAGAGGAAAAAGCACTGGATATGATTATTAGGAGTCCTGAGTTTTAGAAATAGTTTTACCAGTTATTCAGTGTCTGAGCATGGACACACACTTGTCTTTTCTATAAGAGTCATCTATCAGGCTTTAGAAATCCATGTTTACAACAGTACGCCTCAACTTCATTCAATAATCGCTAGAAGTCACTATGTACTAGTTGAATATTTATTAAAAAGATGAATAAATTGAGCCTCCCTCTTAAGGAACTTGTAGTGAAAGGAGAGATAAGGCACATCAATAATTAAGGGTAAAGCAACTGCAGAAAGTACACAATCAGGGTACAGAGGTGACCTCTTCTATAGCCTGAGAGAAAGAATCCAGAGGGCAGGTGGTGATAGAGACTCGGACTTATTTAGCTAAAGAAGATTCTCACATTAAAGTGGCATAAGGAGCTCCTGGCAGTTGTGTATTTCTGGGCTATTTATACTGTTTGAGATAGAAAATAAAACACATCTATGAATATAAGTGTCCAGAAAATGAAGGACGTTCCTTATTCCAGTCAAGGAGGCTGCGGAATACTTTTCCAGTACTGTGACCAGTTAGATCTCAAACAGGGAAGGTAAGTCAGTAGCACTGACACTGGGCTGATGTTTTAACCAGAGGGTGAGCCAGAATTCCAGCAATGTAAGGGAATCAAGTGTCCAGTGAAAGAGCACTTCCAGGTGACCAACCAAGAGTCCAAAGTTAGTAGAGAAAGAAGAAAAGCCAGATGTGAGATGTAAAATCACTTTGTGCTGTGTAAATAAAAGGCAATTTATTATATTTTCCTTTGCTATATTGTGACTTTGACCATTTCCCATATCACTCCCCAACACCTATAATCAAAGTGTTGAAAACAGAAAGACTGTTACAAAAGATTTAGAAATGATGATGATGTCCACCGTCACTACTGGGCCGAGATGAGAGTGGGGATGCTCTTCCTTTATGTTTATGCATTCTTAAAATTGTTGAAACGAGAGTTTCTCCTTTCTTGAATAGTTTACAAGAAATAGTTCAACAAAACTTGCATATCCCTTCACCAGCTAGCTTCATTGTACCAAACAAAGACTTGGATGTAAAAATCCAGCAAAGTACAAATCCCTGTATAAATGTTTCATTCTTACTACTAACATTTATTTCAACAACTCCAAGATGGATATTGATTATTTGTGTGATATCTAAGGCATGAAATGCATTTTAAACATATGTAAAATTGTTAATTGCTACCTATTTGGCCTTTTCTCTAGAATTGTCATTCATTTTTAGTTTTTTAAAATGTACAGAAGGTTGGAGTACAACTGGTTTGGTGTTTAAGACAGAAGGCTGAAAATACCGAGAATTTTTTATGTTTGTTACTAACCTCACCCCTGGGATTTTATTTCACTGTTGGACAATTTGGGTTGGAGATTCAAAGCAGCGAAAATCTATGACGTGTGACAGGCAACAGAGGCAAAAATTAGAACTGCCTGCCAGGATCTGAAGAATCATTACCTCCATCTACTCATTATGAGATAAGAAAACTGACACTCAAAAAAGTTAGGGCAAAACTAGTTATAATAAAGCCAGGATAAGAGCCCATTCAATAAACATTAAATGGTAAAACTTAGGGCCTCCTCCTTAGTGCCCAAGCTGCAAACAATGCCTGCCCTATAGAATTGGTGTGAGAGTTAAAGAAACTATTGAATCATTCTTTCATTCTTTTGCTTATTAGTGTATCCACTCATTCTTTGTGTCTGTTTTGTGTACTCTCTCCAAGCACCAGGAAGGGACACAAAAATATATTAGACAATCTTTGTATTGGAGAGGACTGGAATCTAGTGGAGGTGAGAAACGTGCACAAAGTATTAATTATAAAAAAGCACACTATACTGGCAGGACTGTATGTAGATATTAAGACTGGAGGAATGATTTGCTAATATTATTAAATTTTAAACTGCACATATGCTACCCATTTCTAGGAAAATTTCACAGAAATATTCATACAAGGTTTCTATTGAGAAGTCAGCTGATAGTCTTATGGGAACTCCTTTGTAGGTAACTTTTTCCTTCTCCTGCTGCTTTTAAGATTCTCTTCCTATCTTTAATCTTGGGTAAGTTAATTACGTTCTGTCTCGGTGGGTTCCTCCTTGGGTCCAACTTCTTTGGGACTCTCTGAGCTTCCTGGACTTGCATGTCGATTTCTTTTGTCAGATTGGGGAAGTTTTCCTTCATTATTTTTTCAAATAAGTTTCCAATTTCTTGCTTTTCCTCTTCTTATGGCACCCCTATGATTTGGATGTTGGAATGTTTAAAGTTGTCCCAGAGGATCCTAGACCTCCCCTCATCTTTTTATGTATGACCCATTGCCAAAGAACTTATATGTATGACCCATGGACAGGAACTAAGGGGTGGGAATGCTGGGGGGAAGTGCAGGGTGGAGGGGGATAAAGGAGAGGAAAAAAGGGACAATTTTAATAGCATAATCAATAAAATATACTTTAAGAAAAGAAATACTCATACAAAAACGTAGAATTATATGACCAAGGCTGGTCACAGGAACTATATTTGAGAGAAGAAAGAATAATGTAATTATTTATCCATTGGTAAGAGACCACCTAAACAGACAATGACAGATACATACAATGGAACATGAACAAGCTTTCAAAGAAAACACTGTAAATTTACGTGTACAAGTATGAAAAGATAACCTCGCCAGGTTCTCAATTAAACAGATACAGTAACAGAATATCTAAATGACGGTCTCATTTTTGTAAAGGGAGTACAGTTTAATTATCTGCAGATCTATACACAGGAAAAAGAAAGGCCTGAAAAGACCTACACTCAAGTGTTAAAGGGGATTATCTCTGGGGCTGGAATTCTGGTGGGCTTTCACTTTTTAAGTTTGTTTCTTTATTTTACATTATGCAACTGTATTTCTGCAATCCATGAACTAAAATTTTTAAATGTGAGAATCAAATCATCAAGATATGCTGAATACTAATGAACCTATTGAACAGGCTTCTAAGTGGGATCAAATGGGGAGCTCTGAGAGGAGCGAAAGGTCAGATGGCAGAGGTCATGAGCAGATTGGTGGGGGAGGGTAAATATGCAAGTGTTTTGCTGTTTAAGACAGAAGAATCAGTTAATAACTGCCAATGCCACACTGAGGGGCTTAGGGCTCCCTGTGGACCAGGGCTTAGAGCTCCCTGTGTGAGACCAGGGCAGCTCTGAAATCTGAGCTAAACTCCCTTTTTAGAGAATGGCATCCATAAAGAAACACTTAAAATTTCAATTTACAGGTATAAACTGTAATTATTATTATAATTACCTACAGTTTCAATGATAATTACTTACAATTTCAGAAATTTCATAGACCACTGGGAACATATCTAAAGACCCCCAGGTAGGAGCATCCAGGCATTAGAGACTGCAGTAGGGATTCTCAGCAGGGGAGGGAGCTTACCAGATTTACAAAGTTCTCTCTGGAGTGGAGGGTGAATGGGAGCTCTGTGAGTCTGGAGTGTGATGTAAGTCTCCCATAATAATATTTGTGGCCAGTGACAGTGAAGGGATATACTATGCTACACAGCCATTATGGTTAGGGACAGAGATTGAACTCTGACACAAACTAGGTGAGCTTCTGAACCTTTCATTACTTCAGATTCCCTTCTGGAGATTTGGCTTGCTAATGTTACATCACAGTCTGTGTGAGAGTTAAAATGAAACAGCTTGCATCTTATGCTGTATAGAGAGCTTAACTACTATCAAACCGGGGTAACAAAGGGACTCTCTTTGGATTCTCCAACATGGTTCTGAGGAGGGGATTATCTTAGTTCAGGTGCTAAACGAAGATGAGGATGAGAAAATAACCTACAGTTTGTTTTCCAGACCTGCAATAAAGAGAGAACTTGAGCCCAAATATGATGTCACCTAACTCTACATTCCACACATTTTTTCTAACCAAACATTGCACCCCATAGAAACATTGCTAGAAGAGTATGAAACATTACCTCTAATATTAATGGTGCTGCCTGTTCTATTTGAATCAACAACTACTAAAGAAAACCTGATAATTCTTGTTTCCAGGCTTAGGGTGGACCCTCCAGGAACAGACACATTTTGTCATTGTTTGAGCCTAATATGTGCTTCCCTTTCAACCTAAATAAAGGCAGCAAAAAGGCTAACTCTGTCTTCTATAAATCTAAGCAAATCAAATTCTACCCTTAGAACTTACATTTCAAGTAGAGCGCTAATTTCAGAGTACTTTCCTTGTCAGTACTTCACTGATTTTAAGAAAAATATATAATTCATTTTATTCATCAAAAACATCTTCCTATTTATTTGTGTTGCTATTTCTGAAATACACATTTGGAAAGACTCTTTCTTTTAGATTCTAATCTCATATAATGCTGACCTTGGACTCCTGGTATTTTTTTTTTATGAGAAAAGATCCCAAGAGATCATCTCTTCCAATGTTTCTGAACCTCATTTGGTGACAGAACTCCCCACCCCAACTAAACACACATACCACAATGCATAATACAAAACATCCATGGAATAATATTGATAAAAACATGGGATCCCCAGTTTCCAGTTGTTTCTTAGACCAAAGAAGACATAGCCTAGGACTTTCCTTGGGATTCAAGTTTCATATGTAGTAGTTTATTGCCTCACTGGGAGGAAGAGACCCCTTCCTTTCAATTTCTCTCTCAGTGATGCTTAGGACTCAACATGTACTAAAAAAAGTTAATAACTGTGTACAATTTATTTTTACTAAGTAGCTTCTAGCATTGCACCTGGTCACAGAACACACTTAAAAATTTGTATGGTGAGAAGCATTGCATTATTTTGTTTTATTTATTTTTTCAAAAGTAGAAAGGTGAATAGTAGTCAGTAGTCAGTGGCCTAGTAATAAGTCCTCATACTTGTA